CTCGGGTCTTCCAAGTGGGCTTCCATCTTCCTACCTGGTTCCCTTGATTTACATGGCCTAAGGACTTATCTTGGGTTCACACCGCCCGGTACCGGTTTGTGTTCTCTTATACAATGTTGTACGAGTGTTTTAGACCTTCCAGTCAGGCTGGTATGACACAGGTTACAGGTATCCTATCTCAACCAATCATGGAAGACAGTTAGTCATAATACAGAAAGAATTGCAAATTTTCATCATCACTAGGATTTGAACTCTAGACCTGCCACTTAGAGGTTGACAACCTATCCACTTCACCAGGTCACCACACCCTATAAATAAAAATTATTCTATATGATAGTTTTTATATCTACAACACATCTTTTTTTTGCAGTTATCATTTAATACATTTCAAAATGACTACAATGTCAAGTGTAAATTATAAATTTTTGACCTTAGAAGCTTTAGAGGAAGCTGCACAGGCTGCTGTCAAGGCTCAAGGTTTTGTATTTTCAAGACATAAAAGTAATTTAGAAGGCCAATATGGCAGATCATCTTTCATTGTTTTACAGTATACAAAAAGAGAAAAATGGAGAAATAATTGAAATATTATACCTGAATTTCGTAAAAGAAATAAAAAAACCAACCAATGTTGCTGTTCCATTCATATTTGAGCTACTGCTATTAGAAAACAATTGTCTATGGTATGGGTTGTCATAAAGGTTAAATATATTCATAATTATTTATTACTTTTGTCAGATGAAGTATTAAGCTTTCCTCAACATATTATTGGCACACCTACACATATTATTACTACTGCTATTAACCAGTTTAGTAATGATGATATCATTGTGCCAAAGGATATTGTAAATCAAACATGCACGAATTAGGTATGCACTTAATGAGGGCTCTAATGCTGATTCAGTTCAGAAACTTTTCCATCTTTTACAACAACACGATTACATGATAGAACTTTTAAAAACATAACATGGATACTTGACGCATTTGTTTTTTTCTTATATTAAAGCTGTAAAGCATACAGTGAAGTATTCTGAAGTTTTAATTGTTGATTCTATGTATAAAACGAATGTATACAAATATCTACTTGTAAGTGCAGTTGGCATCAGCAATATTGCAAATAAAAAAGGTTCATTGAAAACATTTCAAATTGCAATGGCATGAATGGAAAATGAAAATGAAGAGTCTTATAAATGGTTTTTAAAAACATTTTGTAATAGGGTATATGATATCTATAGTTGTCTTTCAAGTGTGTTCATGTCAGATAGAGATAAAGCACTCTGTAATGCTTCTGAAAAATTTTTTCCAGAAACAGATAAAATGTTATATATTTGGCATTTGGTAGAGCAAAATCTCAAAACAAATTGTTGTAAGCTTTTTGAGAATGATGATGATTATTTAGAGTTTAAAAAAGCAGTTGAGACATTACAATTGGCATTTGATGAAGAATATATAAAAGTAGTGATAAAGTCTATTACTAATGCTGCAAAAAAAGCATATAATTCAAAAAAGCCTGTGACATATATTAAAACTTTAATGGAAGATTCTAAATTATAGATTTATGCATTTACAAAAAATTACTATCACATGGGTATTTCAACTACTGCACATGCAGAATCATTGCATAGTGCTTTCAAACATGCAATAGAAACAGTGAGTGAACTAGAAACTGTTTTTGAAAAAATTGATCAACAAATGTGAATGCAACATCTTAAAGTGGCTATACATACAGATGTTAATAAGATTGCATATGATTTATTTATCCAATATGATCCTTGTTTTAGTATAATTATTAGTCATATATCAATATATGCAATTGACAAAATAAAAAGAACATTAGCCACAATAGAAGTAAACTCATTAATATATAAAGATACAGAAACTTGTAAATGCTCAATAAGGATCAATTATAAACTTCCATGCCATCATATGATTTCTAAGAAGGGTGTAATCTCTTTAGATATTATTAACAAGTGCTGGCACCTTCATCATTTTAATATCAAATACCTTCCACATTCTGCTCTAGAGTCATCAACAAGTGATCCAGAATTTTTAAAATATTTCTTAAAGCTGAAGAAATATTTTACCAACTTCTAAATGATACTTCTATGAGGGCAAAGCTTATAGCTCATATTGACCAAGTGATTACAATGCCTCTTTCTGAGCCTGTTAAGGCACCAAATATTTTTGTTTCAAAAGATCGTCTTTTAAAAACCAAACATGAAAAACTAATGAGTGAAAGACAAAACCTAAATGCAAAAAAAAAGAAAAAGTTGTTATATAATTCTTAATCTGAACTAAATAAGGCCAATACTTTATACTTTTCTTCTATTATAAATTGTCAAAATATTAATTACTATAAAGATAGTATATCAAATTTCATGCATAAGTATATATTAAGTTATACAAATATTAATGAAGATAGAAATTATGGTTTTCATGTCATTGCTATGTTACTTGAAATGTCCAAAGATAAGTGGCCAACTATAAGACATATGATTTTTAATGAGTTAGTTAATAGAAAAGACCATTACATTAGGCTGTTTCTTGAAAATAAAACAGAATTTAATAGTGTTATTTCTATTGTACAATAGGAAAAAGGACCTTGTAGAATTAATTATTAGATGATAATACTATCTTTTAGATACCCAATTGCAAACACATTCCAATGACCAGTTCACTATTTTAGTAAATATCAATGCCTAATATTTTTATCTAACAATATTCTATTAAACAGAAATCAACCTATTTTTTTTGCTTTTATTGACATGCAAAGTCATTATATTGCTTTAAAGTTAAAGCCTAATGCTCCAGTTCCAACTATTGTACAAGGATGGGAAAAGATTGGTTCAGAAAAATGCAAGCTTTGAAAAAGATTTTTTGAAGAATGGATTGCTCATTTTCAAAAAGCTCTTGAGAATGATAAAGAGAACAACTTACAAAAAATCAATTAATCTCTAATGTTCCTATTAATTTATCTTAGATATAATATGCATTGTCATATTCAATATTATTATATTAGTAGAATTCAATTTCAATAGGTTATGAAAATTAACTATTATATGTATTACTTTATCAAAACAGAATAATAAAATAAAGAATCATAAAGTTTAACCTTAACTTTATAAAGTATGTTTTATAAATATTTTGTTTATAAGATTCTAAAGGCTGCAATAAATTTTATACTTGTAAAATTTACATTTAAATTTTTTAAACTGCAATATATTTTTGATTAATTTAATTGATATTGACTATTTTGAAGCTTGAAAGTTTTTTGCTATATGTTTAAAATTTTTAGAATGTGGCAGTATATACATATTTATTATTACTATATTGTATATATTGCACAAGTTTTATATAACTGTAATATAATCATAATGACATATGGATTTAGTATATAAGCATGTAATTCAGTAGGTGCAAAATCACATGACTGGTGGGTATTTGTAGACTTTTCTGGCAGAGTATTTATGTCATGTTATTGGACCTTACACTATCATATTAAAAAAAATTTTTGTAATTAATAATAATACAGTAATTTTAAATAAAATAATTAATCATATATGAAAACATCAGTTTTGTTCTTTTTTTTTAAGTTTATCATATTATTTTGCTATTAGTTATATTGCTATGTTTAGCATAAATGTGAATAATAATACATGCTAAAATTCGATTCATTTATTAACCATTGTTAGGTAACAATTTTTTTTTAGTAGATAGATCTAAAATCTAAGTTGTTTATTATAATTCCAAAATTATATATATAACACAAAGCTTAAAATGCTAATCATTTATCTTTAACAATTATAACAAAAAATATAACAAATATAATAGAATAGGTTAAATCTGTTTTGTAGATCAGGTTAGGATGAAATCCATGTTTTATTATGTTTTTTATTATAAAAGTGGATTTCACCCTCATGTAATGTTTATAGCAGATTTAATTCAAGTTTCATCCTGTCATAATATAAGAATTCAAATTATCATAACCTCAAGATATTTATTTGCCAATAATAAATTTTTATTACTTATTACTAATCCTATATTGATATTGATTTGCTTTTGCTTATTATACTAACAACTTTGAGTGGCAAATAGTTATAAGAGAGAGATCATTGATCTCTTTATTTTTTTTTATTCTTTAACAGTCTTATCAGAATTCAAATATAAAATTTATTAATTAAAACATTATCTATTTCTAGTAATTTATTTTTTAAGATTGCAAATTTGGCATTATCCAAGTATAGAAACTATATTCAAATATAACTTGTTACATTAATCTATATCTAAATTGGAGACTTTGTTAGTTCTGTTAAACACTGAACTTTAATGAATTAATTCTATTCTGTACTAATTCATCAATATTTTTGTTGAATAATTGAACATATTCTATTTTTCTTTTTTTGGTTTTAATTATTTTAATCTTATTTGATACATTTTTTTTGTATTCTTTTTTTGCTTTTAATTCTTTTTAAATTATGATTTTTATTTTTAGTTTTTTAATTTTATTTTGTTTTGTTTTTAATATTATTTCATTCTTATTTTTCTATTTGGTTATCATTTTATACCTTCATTATTAGAGTTTCTCAAAACCAAATCAAATCAAATATTGGGTCAATTTGAATTTGATCAAATTAAATATTTTTTTGATTTGATTTGATTTGATCAAATATTTGAATCAAATATTTGAATTTGATTCGATTTTTAAAAAAATTTAAAATTTTTGATTGATAAAAAAAAAACTTGATTTCAAAAAATTTTATTATGTTAATTAATTTTAAGCTTTTAAGTAAAAGTGTTTATCTAAACAAAATACCTTTAGTTTTATAAAATAAAAAAGTTTGATTGTCTTAATAAAATTTTGAATAAATGATTTATAATTTTGAACATTCAATTATAAATTTTCAAATCAAATCAAATATTTGTCAAATCAAACCAAATTTGACCATATTTGAATTTGATTTGAATTGAAAATTTAAGATTTAAATTTGATTTGAACTCAAATATTTGATCAAATCAAATCAAATTGCAGAGCCTTATTTATTATATTTCTTTTTTAAATGTTTTTTTTTACAATCTTAACATATAGTTCATATAAGATTTGTTTTGTATACAATTCTTTAAATATACTCTTTATTAATAAATTTCAAATACATGATTCTTGATATCTAATCTTATCTGATTTAGTTTCATTAATTAATATTTTGTTTAAATCAAATCTTGATATCTTATATTTATCTGATTTATCAATTCTTCTTTTATACTAACTAATATGTTAATTTTTCAATATTATTTAAATACTCTTTATATTTATATAGATAAATTAATGTTTCTTGATTTGTATAATATTTTTTGTATTTATCTGATTTATATAAGTCTAGTATTTTTTTTTAATATATTAAAAACTAGTAAACTATTATTTATATATTTAATTCTAAATAAAATCTTCTTAATTTATTCTAATAATTTATATCTAATTTCTGTTAAATTTTTATTTTCTTTTCATATTATTCTTTAATCTTTTTGTATTTTAAAATTTAGTTAAAACCTTTTAATTATATTTAAGTATTACCACTTAGCATTATTTATTATATTTATTAATACTTTAATAAAGTTTTTTACAGATATTGCTATAATTATTTTTTTTCAGTACAATATATATAGTAATTCACAATTTTTCTCAAGCTTCAAATTTGAGTATTTACTAAGTAGTATATTTTTTTTATAAATTTGGTAACTTTTTATTTTATACTATTTCACTATATATTTTAATCTTAATTAATATTAATTCAATATTCTTTGACTTGTATATATCTTTGATCTTTGTTACTAATCTAAAGTTCTTATTTTTACTTTATATTCTAATATTGTATAAGAATTTCTTTTTTTTCAGACTTGTAATCACTATAGCACTATTTAATTTAATTACTATTTTACTATTATAAGCTACAACTAAGACTATCATCAATACTATAGCTAGCTTTGGCTTTGTTAATGATAACTATTTTTCTAATTTAATTTTTCTCTTACTATGACTTCATTTTTTATTTTTACTAACTTATATCTAACTTATATTTATTCTATATTCTTTTTGCTCTCTTACTAATGACCTATCTGTATAAAACTTAAATTCTGTATATTCTAATTTAACATTCTTTTTTACTATTCTAACAACCAATTTTCTAAACTATTAAATTCTTATATTTTTATTAAACTAATCTTATATATATATACTTTTATTATTTTATCTATAATTCTTTTATTATTTTTAATAGTTTTTTTTGCATAATTTTTTTTGTATCTTTTTAGTCCTTTTAGCAAAACTAGAATTTTTTATTTATGCTCTTGTTTTATTTTTAGTAGCATATCTATTATTATACTTTTTCTAATTTAATACTAACAATTGCTTGTATTGCTTCTATTATTCAAGTTGCATCTACTATATTTTACAAATACTAAGTAACTTCTTCTCTTGATTTGTAACATGTTTTAGTAATTTATTAATATATTTTTCTTTTTCTTTTTAATTATCTTATCTATTATTAATTCTGTATTCTCTTTGTTTACTAATACTTATTTATGCTTTTTTTTATTTTATAATAATTTTTTGATAACAGCTTGCATCATTATAGTATTTATTTCTTGTATTTGAAACTCTTTATTAACTTGATTATTTAATATTTTTTGTTTGAGTTTAGCAAACTATTTTGCTTTTTATTCTTTTTGTATACTTGCCTATAGTGCTTTAAATTTTTTTCTATAATTATTCTTTTGTCTTTTTAATCAATTATTTGTTGTGCAAAAAACAGCCTATATTCTATTATCTTTCTATAAGTTGTTCTAAATGTTTTATTCTTTATTAAACTATATACAGTTTTATTTGTATCAAAAATTTGCCAAAAAACACCTTCTGTTTTTATTATTATATCTATTTGATTTACTTTTAGTAATATTAAATGTTAGATTATTCTTTCAGATTTTTTTCAAACTACTTGTACTTGCTATATTTAATTCTTTTAATATTAATTTTGCTAAAGCATAGTCTTGTTTTACTCATATTCTTATTATTTTACTAATCTGATCTGGTTTGTTTAATCTTCTTTGTATAGAAACTAACTGACTATTGAATACTTTTTGGCTTAAATATTTTGCATTTTCCTAAATCTTAATGTATAATTTTACTATTTTTTATAGTTATTAACAGACCTATTTTGTTTTTAATCAATTTAATTATTGGCTAATATAAGAAATTTAGATATTTTTTAAATACTTTTGTTGTTTGCAATATATATACTAGTTTTGGTATTATATATATATTATTAATGTATTTTAGTTAGCAAATAGTTTATTTATTTATTTATTTTTTTATATATAATATCAAGTAGGAAAAATAGTAATACATAGATATATCAATTGGATATAAATATATAAATAAAATATTTCTAAACTACACTATTGTTGCTATATATATAACAATATCTAGTATGATATTAACCTTTAATTTTCTGTTTTAGTTAAATCTACTATCATAATTATTAACTACAAAAGAGAATAAAAGGGACTTTTAAGATTATTTTAATTAGTAAAAGCAGGTATATATAGTAAAATTTTGAAAAAGAGTTTTAAGAATAAATTGGTCTATATTGGTATTAAATATAAATATATTGTTATTGAAGTTAGAGAATTGTATAATAGGTAATCAGACATTGTTTTTTTTTTAGTAAGAGTAGTAATTCCTCATACTGATTTCTATTCATATTGTTTGGTATTATGAGTTTGCCAGATAGTAAGGTTGAACCAGTTGAGTAGAGAGTTAGATAAAGAGATAAAAAAGCTGTTAGTTAGTTTTTTTAGAATTTGTTAAAGTTGTTTATATTGATTAAGTATTATTGTGCCTTGAATAAATAAAAGTATTATATTATATATAGTAAAGTTTGAAGAAAGATTTTGTAAATTAAGGATTTGAATTATAGTATATAGTGAAACTTCTGAGAAGTTTAAAAAACTTAAGATATTTGTGGTTTCATTGATGAGAATGTTTTGTAGATTGTAAGTATAAAATGAGCATTAAAGTAAATGTTTAGTATTTTTATATTGATTACAATAAGAACAATTTGAAATTAAGTAGAGTAGAAAATAGTGAATATTTAAATTTGACATTATTGGCAGGTTATTAAGGAGAATTTTATTTCTAATTTAATAAAGGTTCTAATTAGAATTTTGTGAGTTAATGATTTTAGTAAATAGTAGAATGTTTATAGTAAGAAGATTTCATAATAGTTTAAGTTGAAGAAGTTTGTTAAATATTTGAATAGAAAAGAGGTTTTTGCAGAATTTACAAAGTTTGTATGTAATTAGTATTTCTTTCCAAGTAAAGAAAGTAGGTAAATAAAATTGGTCAAGGTTATATTTTAGTTCTGTTTTTTTGCACCTTGTTTAGCTAAAGCATTAGCAATATTAAATAAAGTGTTATTTTAATATGATTTAACTTTGTGTATAATATAATTTATATTTTTAGTTTGGTTAAGTAGTTTAGAATATGGATAATATCCCAGTTGTTTTGTTTAGTTTAAGAATTGTAGTTATAAGATATTGAATTAGTAAGAGTTTGTATAGTAGATAAGCTGTCTAAGTAAATGTAGATTGAATAATTAAAAGGTAAGATAAGAAATAAGGAAATAAGTGCTACTAGTTCTGCTTATGTTGAGTTTGATGCAAGGTTTATAGAGTTATTAAATTTAATTTATGTATCATTTTTCAGAATTCAAACTATGCCAGTAGAGATGTTATATATTTGTAAATTAAGTATAGAAGCATCTGTATAAAAATGTATATTAGTTAGTTTGAGAAATAGTAATTTTTTGTGAAAGTTTATGAGTTGGTTTTGGTATGTAAGGTCAGGTATTATGTTTTGTATTAGAAGAATTTCTAAAAGGATAATGAAAGCAATAGTAGAGATTTTGGAGCTAATTTATATAGGTTTGTATAAATGTTTTAAAGTGCTTTGATTTTTTGGTTGTTTATATTGAGTTCAAAGTTTTGTTTTCTTTTTTGTGTTTTGCATTTAAAATTAATAGTTTGTTTGTAATTTATTTGAAGTGTTGTTGGTATAGGAGAAA